CCTTCTCTTATTATACTATTTTGGCATTTAGAAATTGATGTTATTAGAACACGTGTCATCCTCCCACAAAAATAGGTGGATATTCTTGACAGTCATTCGTAAGGTGATACTAGAAAGAATTGTTATCTGACCAATTGATTCCCAAGCTCTTGCTTATATTCTTTTTCTATGGCAGATACATCTTTTAGGAGGGCTATTGATGGGAGTAGCATGCACTCTTCTGTTGGTTGAAAAATCTCCTCCCCTTTATCACGCATACGTCGTGATGACAATGTTTTTGTGGACACAAATATTTAGTGAATATCAATTTCTCAAGGCATTTTGCAGATACTTGTGCGGGAGAGTTAATGATTACTATCTTAAACTCATTGCAACTGGTGTTTTTTCCGTGATCATTCTTGAGCTTCTGGTGAGGCTCTATTCCTAGTCTATATATGTTCCTTTATACAGCAGTGGATTTGTTCTTGACCATCTGGATTCTTTAATCATTGTGTGTGGTTACCTTACAGGTGAAGAGCTTCACAGATAGAAAGCTCTATACTTGGTGTTTCTTAACTACAGGGATTTCTGTTCCTTTTTATCTGTATAGATCATTACCTATGAGATCTGGAGTACCATTCTTTGTATGGCTGGCATGTTGGTTTTTGTCGGTTTTTACTCTCATGCCCCCTCAAATTCCAGAAAATACCCTGCTTGTGTAAGTAACTTCATATTGAATATCTTAACTTGCAGATCCACTTGTAGTAGGTCGATTGAATTTGATGTACTGAACTTCTGTATGTAGGGTTGCTGGGGCGGTGATAATTATCACAATTGGCATAGTTCTTCGATATGTGGAATCGCATGCTAAAGATAACAGATACTGGGTTAGTCTTGTTGCACAAGACTCGAAGAAACTCAAGTTCCCCTTGCTCTTTCACTTGCAGGTAAGCAATGTCGTTTATGAGCAATCTTGTCTAAATTATCTTAAGCTTTTACTGAGAGATTTTGGAATTATTTTTTTTTTCGTTGGGAGTAGATCCTTTTGGTTGGCTTGGCATCTCTGATGGTTTGGCTTTCAACTACTCATAGAACAGAGAAGCAGGAATTGTTAGTCCTCCACCAACTGGTGAATTGGTCCATTGCTGGTATTCTTTTTTTCTTTTATCCGTATGCTAGTGTAGCTCAGTCTTAGAATTGTTCTCGGATGTCCTATGAACACAATTAATGTAGCCTTTACACCAATTTATTCCTTCAATTGTTTGTTTTTTGTTAATGCAATGGGATGTTAAACAGTGAATTCAAAGTGGTGAGATTTTACATTTTCTTAATACTTGTTCTAATAAAATGCATGCTATCCAGACTTTGTTAAGTCTGCACAGATTACAAAGAGATTGTAGATCATTTGTGAGTCTGCACAGATTACAAAGAGATTGTAAGACTTCAATGACAACTTCCTTCCATGTGATTTTATGAATAATTACTAGGCTGTATCCTGTCATAAAGAAATAATTTCTTTGGTAAACATCTACTAGTTTATGGTAATGTATCAGTGTATCACCTTGTTGCATATCAGACTGTCCTTTGTTACTCTTGCATTAATTTTTCAGGCTCTTTTGGTTCATTTTAATGATTAACTTTTATGAAGCTTTTCCTGTCTAATTTTGTTTCTGTATAACTATTCCTTTCACTAGTTACTGTTCTTCAGCCTGAAATTTCACATATTTTGTTTTCTTTGTGAACATTTCAACAATCCTTTATTTATCATTTGACTTGTTTCTTTAGGCTTCTCGATGATACTCCCACTCTTTTCAGCTACTGGTCTCTTGTCCAGGCTGACTTCCATTTTCCTTGGCGTTGCACCTCCCTTCCTGCTTCTATCAATCGGGTACCTCCATCATTTTGTTGCTTAGGCTAGGAGTAGATTCAATTTTATAACATTATGAGTCAGAATTTGAAAGCTTTTGAATTTCCTGCAGCTATGAAGCAGTCTTCTATGGTGCTCTCAGTCTTGCACTTATAGCATGGATACTGGCGGAAAATGCTTATCTCCATATAAGCAAGTTCAGATCATCAGCTCCAGTCAAATCCATGGAGGATGATAATAGGTGTCTGGAGTTATCCGATATGAGGATCCCATTAACCTTCGTAAGTTTTACGTTCTGTTTTTTCTTAATGATGTTGTAGTTATGGAAAAAAGAAAGACAGTGACATTGTTTTTAGCCTTGTTAATTTAATACTTTGGGGGTGTATGCATCTAGCTCTGTTGTCTTTGCATATATCCAAATAGTTGTATTGAAGTGTCTTAAATTGCTGATGAAATTTCTTCTTTTTAGATGGTCTTTTTCAATATTGCATTCTTTGGAACTGGTAATTTTGCAAGTATTGCAAGTTTTGAGATCTCTTCTGTGTATCGGTTCATCACTATTTTCAGTGTAAGTGGAACTGAACATCCTTGTTTATGAATCCTTTATTCCTTATTTGCCTTTCATTTGCATATGGTGACATTTGGGATTGTTCCTGTTTTTTGCAGCCTTTTCTGATGGCGGCATTACTTATTTTCAAGTTGTTGATACCATTCATACTTGTCATGTAAGTACAACTTGCAAATTTTCCTTATTAACAGTTTGGATGGAAAACTACTGTAATCCAATGATTGTGGTGGAGTTTCTAGGGCTTGGGGGTTGTTTTTCTCTCTCAAATTCGTCCAAATAAGGTGTGAAATTTACCGACCCCTCTTACATATTTAAAATATTGGCTTCACGTATTGCCTGTTGCAGTGCTCAACTTTCACCCGTTGAGATGCTCGTCGCAGCCTGGAGCAACTAGAAAATATTGTTGAAGCGTTGCAGCGCCCAAATTTCGACCGCTGCTACGGTGGCTGCTGTTTTCCACGAAAATATCCAAATTATTTCCAACTCCAAATTGTTCTCCACTTGCTTTAATCCACTCCTCCTCATTTCCAAACATCCATATTACTTTCCAAACACAACTTTTGAGTGTTGAACACTCTTGTGGCACCTTAATCGTGTTATTAGTTGTGTTAGCCATAACTAGAGAGTAGCAATCTACAGGGTAGTACACCATCTTTCTATGTTGGGTGGTTGGCTTTCTTCTTGGTATTACCTTGCAGCCTTTACATGTAGAACTGTCATTTCTTCTAGTATGGAAGAAGTTTATTTGGTCATGATTACTGCACTCTTACAAGTTATCAAGTGCATTCCCTGTTTTAAAATAAGTGTTGGCTAATACTATATGGTAAGCTAATTCAAACTCTTAAGATAGTTGTCCTGTCCTATCTTCATTCTGGTGCCAATGGAAACCCTTTGAATCTACCTACATTTACATCATATGTTTGTTGGTCATTTGGGATCCATTGGGTCAAGGTATCCTTATCTTCTCATAAGCTTTAGTATATCTTGTCTAGCCTTATTTGCAGAGCACAAGAACTACCTGATCTTCACTGAGCACAAAGTGCATTATAGGAACCTATATTTATACATCAAGAAGCCTTTGGAATTTTTGGAGACCAAGAAAATTTGTATTTGATATGCAAGTAGAAATATTTTGGAATTCTTGGTCTTGATGAGATCAGTTGTGTACCATGGATGACTTTTATTTTCTGTTGGGCATTAACTGCAGATGTGCATTTAGTGCAATCACTAAATTGGTGCAAGTTCCATTGTTGGGATGCTATTTTCTGGTGATCTTGTGCTCTGATGTAATGACAATCCATTTCTTCTTCCTGGTAAGACTGTCTTATTCCTCCTATGGTGCAATTCTCATATGTTTTTCTACCTATTTTCCATCCAATGTGTCTTGCTTGAAAAACGTAGGATTCCCAGTACCAATATGTTCTTCTCTGTCAAAATCTTCAACAGCTTTGAATTTTTCTCTTTCATGCTTTTGATTGTTTTATCTCCAGGAACATGATTCTGGGGATTCATCATGGTTAGGATCCATCTTACTTGTTTTCTGATTGGTAATAGGTCCAAAATAAAGGAAGCTGGATGGAAATTGGCAACAGCATTAGCCATTTCGGAATTATGAGTGCTCAAGTTGTGTTTGTCCTTATGCTTTTTGCTGTTACAAATGTATTCACAAAAGACATCCAAGTTAGATCAGCTCAGCAGTTTTCTCGTAAAAAAATGTGATTCATTTGAAGCTTCATCCTTTTCAAGATCCCACATTTCTGGGTTGCAATTTTGCTAGAGTAGCAATTAGTTCACACAAATCATTGTATTGGGCTATGCTCCATGAAGTATATCATTCTTTTGGATGTCCCATAGTTCAGGGTGGCAAAGCATATAGTTCTTGCCAAAACAGAGTGGATATATAGTTGTACCGAATGTATGATGATGAGATGATTAATTCCAAAATGGTGTTGAGCTGATGGATTAGAATTGGTTGTTTCTTGTTACTTTAAATTTTGAGATGTGAAATCATTCCTGGAATTGCGGCAGTGAGTTCATGTAATTTTCAGAACTCATTGATCCGACTAATATAAATTTACGGAGCGTTTTCCTCTCTCCCTCCGTTTGTTTGGCAGTGGACAAAATGTATTCTCTCCTTCATCTAGAAAAATGAGCAACTTCTATGGCTCATACAAAAAGAAGTTGAACATTTTTTTTTCTCAAATCATAAAAATAAATTCCCGGTCCAATGTTATTATATCTTTTAAATTCAATTAATGTTATATATTTCTTGATCAAATACTCTTTTCAAAATTATGGAACATCGTAGTTACTCCAAAAGTAAGTTTCATCGAATCACTTACTCTTTTACAATCCAACTGAATCATTTTCAGCTCACATTGGTAAAGGAAAAACAAGAACACAGATATGTTTACGAAGCCAAAAGTCACTCATCTGGTAATTTATGTACATTGGCTAAAAATAAAATAGTGGATTTAAGGCTATTTTGTGTAAATATCTAACTTGAGGCCCAATTTAAACCCGTTCCAAGTCGACTCGACTCATATTATCGCCCAAACAAACCCGTCCTTCAGATCTCTCTCCTCTGCAGAAAAATTTGAAGCTGATTCCTCCATTTTCTTCAACAAACGAAAGGTATACGCTCTATTATTTCTCTCCTTCCTTTTACTTTAACCCTATTTTCCCACTGTTTCCAGTAAGAAAAATCAGGAAATTTTTAGTTTCTTATCTCAATTCGTTTCAGTTAAGTTTCAAATTTGGTGGGTCATGCGATGTTTTCTGCATTTTGCTTCCCGTGGTTGTTTTTTGGGGGTTTATGTAGTTTTATTAAAGATATATAAGGTTATCACTTATTTTATTTGCCTTTGAAATACCTTAATTATTGTTTTGATGGGCATTAATCTATATTGGTTTTAGGGCAACAAGTAATTTGTGATTTGATGGTAAAGATAAATACTCATTGTAATTTGTAAAATTTACAGATTCCATACATTGAATCTAATGATTGTTTCTAGGAAATTGAATGTTGATACTGAAAAATTACAAGTTCAGTGTCCATTAACTTTAAAGTTTGAATTTTGGAAATCTTTTCTCCTCTTTCACATGTGGGTGTATGCTTTTCCATCTCTAACTCTCTCTCGGATTGGAGGAGCAACAAATGGATGCTTTTCTTTCCATAGTTTAGTAATATTGTGATTCATTGCTAATGTTGTTTATTGATTTTTTTCTTTTTACCTTTTCTAGTTTTTCAATCGTGGTCTTTGAAGATGTTACAAAATGTTCAACACCAACTTTTGCAATCGCCGGCACGGCTAGGCCTGCCAACTCCCAGTTCACCTTCTCTACAAAACACAGCTCCTCCTCCTAAGTTCTCCTCGCAAGTGTCGCAACCCAATCAACAGGCAAATATATTAACTACCACTACCACCTCATCAACGCTCCTTCCTCTTCTCCCACCTCTCTCTAGAGCTCAGTCTCTTCTCATTCAAATGGCATCTCTTGGTTCAAGGCTCTTTGAAGTCTCACCTAACCGGTCCCATTGGCTTAGTGCTTTTCGTGGCTCTTTCCCTTCATTTCTGCCTTCTACAGCACCAATTCCACAAGATTCCAGCCCATCATCCTCAAAAGAAATCCTCTCAGTGTTTACTTCTCTTCAGACACAACTGTTTGAAGCAGTTGCTGAACTACAAGAAATACTTGATCTTCAAGATGAGAAGCAAAAACTCACCCGTGAAATTAGGTCAAATGATTCTGCAATTCTTGCCTTTGCCAACAAACTCAAAGGAGCTGAGCGTGTTCTTGACAATCTTGTTGATGATTACGCTGACTATCGTCGTCCCAAACGGGCCAAGTTGGAATTCGATACCGAAGAATCTTCAGTAACATCTGTGGCGACTCAGTTGAAATTATCTGACATTTTGTCATATGCTCATAGGATAAGTTACACTACTTTTGCACCACCTGAATTCGGTGGTGGACAGGCTCCTCTCCGGGGAGCTCTCCCACCGGCTCCACAGGATGAGCAATTGCGTGCATCTCAGTTATATATCTTTGCTGATCTTGATGTTGGTTTACCTAAAACAGATGAAGGCAAGGAGAATATTTTGGAGCCACTCATTGAACCTCCGGCAGAAAGTAACGCACTTGCCAATCTATCATCAATTCAGGGCCTCGTCCCTCCAAATATTGTAGTGCCATCTGGTTGGAAACCTGGTATGCCTGTTGAGTTGCCCACTGATCTCCCTCTTCCTCCACCTGGGTGGAAGCCTGGTGATCCAATTGCTCTTCCTCCAGTGGATTCTCGTCCACCTCAAAAGGTTGAGGAGGCACCTGCACGACCAGTACCTCCTCCAGGACTTTCAAGAATGCCCGAACCAATACAAGTTCGACATGTGCAGCTTGATATTGATGATGATAGTAGCGATTATAGTTCTGATGAGGCCAGCTCTGATAGTGAAGATTGATGTGGTGTTAGCTGTTTTGAGTTGCTAATAAAGGTATAGCATCTGCAGCTTGATATTACTTCTCCTTGCACAAAGCAGTGGTTTCTCTTTTTGCCTCACTATTGGATAACTTCTCTTCCCTCGAACAAGAGGTACCCCTGCTCTCTTCTGTCTGCTTAATTGGGGGGCATTTTAGTTTCAATTTCATGTTCTTTAGCTTTCTCTACCGTGTGTGTTGTTTAGTAACAGGTCTTATGTCAACAAACTCTTCCCTGCTAACTATGTGTCATATTCGTCCCGACAGTGTTTGGAGAGTCAAGATCTAACTGTGAGCTTCTCTTTTTTCATGAAAAATGTTTCTTGTTTATACTAGTTAACCTGAAGAGTAAGATCATTATGATATTCCGAGTTTATAGTTGAAGACAAAACAAAATTAATGCATCTCGAACACTGACTCTATCGGGAGTTGACAAGCACCTAAGTGTGTGGCCTAATATTCACTGAAGTGGGATCAAACCTATGAGGTGCCATGTTCAATTCTCAGAGGAGTAAACAAACATTGAGCGATCTCTTCATGTTTATCCCTGGTGAGTTACTTTTTATTGGGTGCTGGTGGAATATTACAAGTCACCGATGGAATAGTTGATTGTGCTCAAGGAGGTACAGAAATGCCGTTATCCGGAAAAATATCTGTTGACTTTAGCAGATAGTGAACTTGAAATTCAATTGGACCAGTAGGGATTTTTTTTTCGTGTGATGCCTTTATTTTGATGTTTTAATTTAGGCTTAGGGAGCCCGGAGCCAAGTTTCCCTGCTTCACTTTTGGTTCGCTGCTCTTGGTGGCAATGGTTTCCAACAAGTCATATCAAAATGTCAAACATGGAATTCATGTTTTTACAGTCTCAAACTAATTTTCAGTCCGTAGATACTTAATCAATCTAATAGCGCATTTTGTATATCTACAAGCCATATGGTACATTTCTGCCGTGCATAGAATGAGAATCCTTGTTTTGAGAAACCTGAATCAGTTTGGAAACTCTGGAATCACAGCTGAGTGATTCCAGAGTGGAGATGAGTTTACAGCTAGAAGAAATTGGAATTTATGTTCAGTTAGACTAAGCCATCCATTTTGAAGTGGGGATGTTAAGGCTTACAGTCCCTTCCCATGCCCTGATCCTCCATGTAAATTTATTCCCTTCTAAAATTTATTAAAAGAAATAAAAGATGTGACAGACAATAAATACATTCTATCATTAGACTTGTACTCAATTCTTTTTACCAATTAAGATAGCAATATGTCACATGTACTTGAATAATAATTTTGGAACTACAAAAATCAAAACTCTCAAAAGAAATAAAATTGACCTCTTGCTATATGGCATCCCTGCTGCTACATGCAATCTGCTTGCACCTGTGGGAAAAGTAAGCCATAGTTTTTTACTCTCCTTTACCCAAGTTAGAAAAATCCCTGCTACAAGATATACTATAATGTACTTGTATATTGGCTTTTGGTGTGGTTAAAAAAAGGACTCAAACAGAAAGGAATCTGAACTTATTTAAGAAAAGGAAAATATTTTGAATTAAGACAATGAAACAAACAAGAGGTGTCAGAGGCTGATTTACAAGTACTCCATTCGGATGAATTCAATAGCTTTCATTCCAATCATATATATGTATTGAAAATTACCATGTAGATTTATATGTACTATGAATTTAATTATTATTATTATATATTATTTAAATTACATTAAAAACCATAAATTTTAAATTTTGAATTCGACTATTACATTATATAGCTGTCAATAAGAGAAAACCGTGCATGAGCTGTGAGATAACTGTCACTGCGGAAATGGACGTTTCATTCTCTCATGGCAATGGGACCAGCCTCTTCATTTCTCTATCGTCCTATCCCCAACACTCTTGTCTGTTTTCCTTTGACGTTATTTTCTCCGTTTTAATTTATGTGATATTTTTTTAAAATGATATATTTTTATATTTAATAATAATCTAATTTTAAACCTTTTATTTTACCTTCAAATGAGGCTACTAAATCCGCCCTCACATAAATTGAATGGAGAAGTTATTTTTTTTAAAAAAAAAAACTTACATTTTTTGAAACTACATATGTATAGACAAAAAGAATTGGTAAAATTACAATTTCTAATGGTTAGAAGTATTGAAAAGAAGCTGTGTTTTTCTCCATGTAATAGTATTATTATTTTTTTCCATTTCCTCTCCTTTTTGTCCTTAATTTCAAACAAGTGCAACATTAGTAGATTAAGATTAATAGCAATTAAGAAAAAAGAAGAAATAAGATTCAATAATAGGTCATTTAAATAAGCTATGAATAAGTTGAAGCTTATGAGCGAAATTAATCTGTAATAATAATAATAAAGTAGCACATTCTTTTTAGGCAGTGCCTACTAGCAAGAGCCACTAATTCGGTGATATGAATTGCTTTTAATGAATCCTACCCCGCAATCTTTAATTTAAACCACAATAATAGGGCCCTAACTTTAAATTGGGAGGACAAAACAAAATTACGATTTTTCAAAAAATTCCCCAATTAAGATAGAGGTGACTCTATAAGACTTATTAAAAGAGAAAACGTTTTTTATTTAAATAGACTTATTCTTAGTGTTAGAATCCAGAAAACCTAATTAACGTGAAAGATCATATCCATCACACCATTATTATAAGTGACAGTGACATGTTTTTGCTGAAAAATTATATTGTTTAAAATAGACAAAAAATATATATTTTTTATATTTTCAATGATATATATGTTGGAATGATTAAGAAGGTTGAATAATTAAAGCAGAGAAAATAATAGAAGCAGCATGTGATTAAGGGCGACACATACGGCGCAGACTCCGTCCTTAATTTCTCCTGTGTATACTCTGTCCCGTATTTGCTTTGCTTTAATAAAATAATGAATTAATTTGATGTTCTTTTCAACAAAATTCTGAAATATAGTACAACTCGAAAGTCACAAATCACATGTTTACCAACTTTAATTAGAGCTTAACCCTTTGGATTACATCCTGCTAATGACACGTATCCCTACCCCTCACATTAAACCCTCAAATGGTTGGATCTCTTTTGCTCTCACCCTATTTTTTTTTTAATTTCATTTTTTGATGTTCAATACTCGCATTAGAGATAACTCTTTCAAATTCACGTTGAATAGGGCTCCATTATGGAATATCGCTTTCTACCATGAATTTTTCTATAGCCAAAATTTGAACTTAAAATCTCTAATTAAGAAAGACACAACTCCCTCCACTGCACTACAATTTAAAAGTTTACAACTATGATATACTTTACTTTATAGTAGGGATAAGATGTTTTTTTTTTTTTTTTTTACCGTGGTTTTCGGGCGTCGCTTTGCGAACCCGACTAGCTGTACCCACCGGGTCCCGCTGTTTCAAGGCGGGTCCACCACGGTTAGTTCCACGGGGCCCTGGAGACGCGGCCGGTTTGTAATGCCTCTAGGGATAAGATGTTAATGGGTAATCTTGTGGTATAATTTTTTAATTGCTTTATTGTATTAGTTGGTCCTTGATAATTGCCATGTCATCCAGTCCAAAAAAAAACTAAACCCAAAATGCCAAAATGCAGTAAGAGCACCGACGGGTCAATTCAGAGTACCGGGTTTTTACATGTGGACCCATCCCGTGATTGGTGGTTCATGCAACTCATAGGATTCTCTTGCTAAATTTCACATTTCATGTGACAATGTCTTCTCTTTCATTTTTTAAAGTATTTTTTTTATTTCATATTTCTGTTTAATGATGATGACATTTGAATATGCTTAAACCTCAACTTAAAATTACTTTACCAATTTCCTTTCCTTTATCTATAATATTCCTTTTTGCCTCATTCACATACAAGAATATCCTTTCATTTTATGTTACCATTTTCTTTCTTTCTCCTTTTTTAGGAAACTTTATACAAAACTTTGGAGCTTAATTTTATTTACCTCAATACTCATAGAAAGATTATACTTAGTCCACTAGAGTGAGGTTTACTCTACTAACAACATTAAATATCTATTTCCCTCGGAAGCCTAATGATCAATGAAGTTATTGAAAATCACGATGTTTCGGATTCAAAATTCAATAGAAACAAAAATTACTAGATGATTCTTCTCATTTGTCCTAACTTAACGATCATAAAGAAAAAAAAACATTGTCTTTTCTTTTAATTTTCACTCATATTTTCAGAGCTCTAATATCATGTTCAATATTTCATAATTTTATTTTTAAAACTCAAACTCAAGATAATATGAGTTAGAATGAATGAATATTTACCGTCCATTTGAGTTGTTTTTGAATGTACCTAAAAGAAGAATATATAATGAGTTGTAAACAGAAAAGCACTTGGACTTATGGAAGAAAATGAGAGTAGAACATGTTTCATTAAATATAATTTTAAAAAAATAAAATCATTGAATGAAGAGAAGAAGTGAGAAATATGAAGACCCCATTGAAGCCCTCCAGCTATTTCCCATCCCCACATCTTACCTATTTCCCTCTCCTTTTTGTAGCCAGTTTTTTCTAAATCCAAACACTAAGACTGAGCTGAAAAATAGCTTAGCAAAAACACAGAGCAAATGGGTTTAACTCTTGTGTTTTTTCTTTTCTTCTCTGTCTTCTTAACTCCTTCTTTATCAAAGTACCATTCGCCGCTAAATACTGCTTATTACCGGAGATCATGTCCAAGATTTGAACAAATTATGCAAGAAACCACTACAAACAAACAGATCACTTCACCTACTACCGCCGCCGCCACCCTCCGCCTCTTCTTCCACGACTGCTTCGTCGGCGGCTGCGACGCCTCCGTACTCGTCTCCTCCACTCCTTTCAACAAAGCTGAACGTGACGCAGAAATCAACCTTTCACTCCCCGGCGATGGGTTCGATGTAGTCGTACGCGCCAAAACGGCGCTTGAACTTGCTTGCCCTGGAGTTGTCTCTTGCTCCGATATTCTCGCCGTTGCTGCCCGAAATCTCGTTGTTCAAACCGGAGGCCCGTTTTATCCAGTTAATTTGGGCCGTAAAGATTCTTTTATTTCAAAAGCTTCGTTGGTTGAAGGAAATCTGCCCCGACCCACAATGACGATGGATCAAATCATTAACATTTTCGGGTCAAGAGGGTTTTCGGTACAGGAAATGGTAGCATTATCCGGTGCTCACACAATTGGGTTTTCACATTGTAAAGAGTTCAGCTCAAATCTTTACAATTACAACAAAACTTCGCAATATGATCCTTCTTACAACCCCAGATTTGCTCGAGCTTTGAGAAATGCTTGTAATAATTTCCAAAAAGATCCAACATTGTCAGTTTTTAACGATGTAATGAGTCCGAATAAGTTCGACAACAAGTATTACCAGAACTTAC